GCTCACACTATTCTGCCTGACCTCAGTCTCTCCAAGTAGCTGGGATTACAGGCACCCGCTGCCATGCCTGTGCTAATTTTTGCGTTTTAGTAGAGATGAGGTTTCCCATGTTAGCCAGGAATAGTCTCGATCTCCTGACTCGTGATCCGCCCCGCGTGTGGCCTTCCCAAAAGTGCTGGGAATTACAGCTGTGAGCCACCGTGCCAGCCAAGAAATATTTGTTTTTAAAATACTTAAAAAAAAAAAAAAAATTATTCAAAATCCTGTTAAAAGTTTTCAGTATATACTTTTTCATTGGTGATAACATTATAAACTTGAGTATATCTTAAAGTGAATTGTTATATAGTGTATATATTGGTATAATGCAAATTAGTGTGGCATTAACTTGATTTTTTAAATACTTGCTTTAAAAAAATTTTTTTTTTAACTTTTTTGAGATGGAGTCTCACTCTGTCACCCAGGCTGGAGTGCAGTGGCACGATCTCAGCTCATTGCAACCTCTGCTGTCTGGATTCAAGCTATTCTCCTGCCTCAGCCTCCAAGTAGCTGGGATTACAGGTGCCTGCCACTGCGCGCAGCTAATTTTTGTAGTTTTAGTAGAGATGGGGTTTCACCATCTTGGCCAGGCTGGTCTTGAAGTCCTGACCTAGTGATTCACCCACCTTGGCCTCCCAAAGTGATGGGATTACAGGCATGAGCCACCTTGCCTGGCCTAAATACTTGTATTTTAAATGTTTATATTTTCAGTAACTTTTGATACAGATGCAAATTTTCTAAAGGTCCATTTCATAGTCCTTGTGGGATTCACTTAAAAAAAAAATAAGTCACTTGTAAAATTAGAATTTTTTTTTTTTTTTTTTTTTAAAGACACAGGGTCACAGTCTACTGCCCTGGCTGGAGTATAGTGGTGCAATCATGGCTCACTGTAGCCTCGAACTTCTGGGATAAAGTTCACAGTCTTCCTGTCTCAACCTGAGTAGCTAGGACCATAGGTGTGCACCACCAAACTTGGCTAACTTTTTTTTTTAGAGATGGGGTCTTGCTATGTGCCCCAGGCTGGTCGTGAACTCCTGGCCTCAAGTGATCTTGATCACCCAAAGTGCTGGGCCACTGCATTACAGCTGCAAGCCACTGTGCCATGGCTAATTTTTTTGTTTTATTTTATTTTACATTATTGTAGAAACAGTGTCTTGCTATGTTGCCCAGTACAGTCTTAAATTCCTGAGCTCAAGTGTTCCTCCCATCTTGGCCTCCCAAAGTGTTGAGACTATAGGTATAAGCCACTATGCCTGGCCTAGAATTTATCTTTGCATAGTATTTTTCTTTATGTAAAATTTCATTGCTTTAGCTTCATTTTTTCTTTGCAGAATGAATATTAATGATGTGACTTTAGAAATAATTGGATCATCATTTCCCTAATATTAGACTAACACAAGGAAACATTGCAGTGGAGAAAGTTTATGTAATTGTGGATAGACTGCGTATGTGTAGTGAGTATACTATACATATGTAACATTTATGTAAAATTTAATTGCTTTCATTTTTTTAATCTCAGGCCTTTTGTAGTATGTAAAACTTTTTTTTTTTTTTAGACAAAGTCTTGCTCTGGGCCGGGTACGGTGGCTCACGCCTGTAATCCCAGCACTTTGGGAGACTGAGGGGGGCAGATCACGAGGTCAGGAGATCGAGACCATGCTGACTAACACAGTGAAACCCCGTCTCTACTAAAGATACAAAATATTGACTGGGCATGGTGGTGGGTGCCTGTAGTCCCAGCTACTCCGGAGGCTGAGGCAGGAGAATCCCATGAACCCAGGAGGCGGAGCTTGCGGTGAGCCAAGATTGCGCCACTGCAATCCAGCCTAGTCAACAGAATGAGACTCTGTCTCAAAAAAACAAAAAAAAAAATAATAAAAAAGTCTTGCTCTGTCACCCAGGCTGGAGTGTCTCGGCTGACTGCAACCTCTGCCTCCTGGGTTCCAGTAATTCTCATGCCTCAGCCTCCCAAGAAGCTGTGATTACAGGCACGTGCCACTACGCCTTACTAATTTTTGTATTTTTAGTAGAGACAGGGTTTTGCCATGTTGACCAGGGTAGTCTCGAACTCCTGGCCTCAAGCAGTCTGCCCACCTCAGCTTCCCAGAGTGCTGGGATTACAAGTGTGAGCCACTGCACCCAGCCAAATTTTTTTTTTTTTTTTGAGATGGAATCTCACTCTGTCGCCTAGGCTGGAGTGCAGTGGCACAGTCTCGGCTCACGGCAACCTCTGCCTCTGAGATTCAAGTGATTCTCCTGCCTCAGCCTCCCAAGTAGCTGGGATTACAGGCATGTGCCACCACGCCTGGCTAATTTTGTATTTTTAGTAGGGATGGGGCTTCTCCATGTTGGTCAGGCTGGTGTTGAACTCTCAGCCTCTCATGATCTGCCTACCTCGGCCTCCCAAAGTGCTGACATTACAGGTGTGAGCCACCGCACCCAGCCTCAAGATTTTTTTAACGTAAAACTTAGTTGTTTTAGTTTCATTTTTTTCTTTCCAGAATGAATTATTATTATTATTATTTTTTGTGCAGGACGAATTCTTGCTCTGCTGCCCAGGCTGGAGTGCAATGGCGTGATCTCAGCTCACCACAACTCCGCCTCCCGGGTTCAAGTGATTCTCCTGCCTCAGCCTCCTGAATAGCTGGGATTACAGGTGCCCACCACCATGCCTGGCTAATTTTGTATTTTTAGTAGGGATAGGGCTTCTCCATGTTGGTCAGGCTGGCGTTGAACTCTCAGCCTCACATGATCTGCCCACCTCGGCCTCCCAAAGTGCTGAGATTACAGGCATGAGCCACTGTGCCTGGTTATAATTTTTTTTATATTACATTTGGGAGCAGGTTATTATGTTTTGTTTTCTGTAATGGTATTATATGTATCAGCCCAAGAAGTCGGGGTATCTACCCTTCAGGGATCAAAGTGCCAATAAAACACCGTGTTTGGAGATCCCAGCCTGTGGGTGCAACAAAGGTGGGGTGCTCCCTAACACTTTCTTGCAAGACTGTTGTTGAGCAATTAATGAAAAACTAATAGAGGGCTGAGCATGGTGCCTCAGGCTTGTAATCCCAGCAACTTGGGCGGCCGAGTCTTGTGGGTCACTTGAGGCCAGGGTTTCGAAAGCAGCCTGGCCAACATGGTGAAAACCTGTCTCTACTAAAAACATAAAAAATTAGCTTGATTAGCTTGACATGGTGGTGTCTGCCTGCAATCCCAGCTACTCAGGAGACTGAGGCATGAGAATCACTTGAACGGGGCAGGGGTCGGAGGGTGTCTCAAAAAACCCAGAAACTAATAGAATGTTTACTTAACATTTCTAACATTTTTACTGTAGGTTGTGGAAAATGTAAAAATGACAGGCTCAATATTAGTTTTTTTAATTTTTTTGTTTCTTTTTTTGAGATGTAGTTTTGCTCTTGTTGCCCAGGTTGTTGAGCAATAGCGCAATCTTGGCTCACTGCAACTTCCACCTCCCAGGTTCAAGTAATTCTCCTGCCTCAGCCTCCTGAGTAGCTGGGATTACAGGTGAGCACCACCACACCTGGCTAATTTTTTGTATTTTTTATTTTAGTAAAGATGAGGTTTCACCGTGTTGGCCAGGCTGGTCTTGAACTTCTGGACCTCAGGTAATCCACCTGCCTCATCCTCCCGAAGTGTTGGGATTACAGGCATGAGCCACCACACCCGGCCTCAATAATACTTTTTGGGAGTCAGATGAACAAATAAGTTGTTGGAAAATGCAGACACAATACTTATGTATGTAATATAAACGGAAGTTTTTTCTCTTTGGTCTTTTCATAGGGAGAAGAGTGGCAGTTGCATTGGACACCTGATTAGAACCGAACATGTAAAGACAATTTGTGATGGACAATATTTACATAATTTCCAACGTAAACATGGTGCCATACCAGTCACAAATCTACTGGCAGGTGACAGAGTTATTGTAAGTGGAGAAGAAAGGTCACTGTTTGCTTTGTCTAGAGGATATGTGAAGGAGATTAACACGACAACAGTAACTTGTTTATTAGACAGGTAATGAAATGTTACTTTTTTTTGAGAATATCTTTATTGATATATAATTCACATCTGTGTAGTTCATCCATTTAAAATGTACAATTCACTGGTTTTTATTATATTCACAGCATTGTGCAGCCATCACCACAATCAACTTTGAGTATTTTCATCACCCCAAAAAGAAACCCCCAAGGAAGAAGCCCTATACCCTTTAGTAGTCGCTTCTCATTTTCCTCCAATTTCCCCAGCCCAAGGCAACCACTAACTTGCTTTCTGTCTCTGTAGATTTGCCCATTCTGGACATTTTATATAAATGGAATCATGCAATATGTGGTCTTTGGTGACTGACTTTTTTCACACAGGACGCTGTTTTTGAAATTCATCTTCATGTTTTAACATGTATCAGCATTTCATTCTTTTTTTTAAAATAAATTGAGGTAAAATTCATGTAACATAAAATTGATCATTAACCATTTTAATGTGTATTATTGAGTGGCGTTTAGTATATTTCCAATATTGTGTCGCCATCATTTCTGTCTATTTCTAAGACACTTTTATCACCCTAAAAGGAAACCTCATTCCTATTACGCAGTCACTTCCCACTCTCTCCTCCCTGAAGTCTCTGGCAACCACTAAATTGACTTTGTTTCTGTATGGATTCATCCATTCTGGATATATGATATAAGTGGAACCATACAATATGTGACCTTTTGTGTCTTGCTTCTTTCACTTAACCTAATGTTGGAAAGTTTATTCATGTTTTAGCATATATGATACCCTCATTTTTTTTATGGCTGAATATATTCTGTTGTATGGATATACCACATTTTGTTCATCCGTTCACCAGCTGATGGACATTTGAGTTGTTTCCACTTTTTTGCTGTAATGATTAATATTGCTATGAACATTCACATGCATAGTTTTAGGTAGACATATTTTCATTTCTTTCATTTTCTTTGTAGTTACCTAGGCATGGGTCATGTGCTAATTTCGCATTTAACATTTCGAGGAACTACCAAACTGCTAAAGTTTTGTTTAGTACATTATATTCCATAGTGATGATGTGGACGTAATCTTATCTAATTCTTACAACCGCATGTATAGCAGACAGCATAGATGCCATCCTGTGTTAGCTATAATGCTTATTTCTCCTTGCATGCTGGGCACTTACTATTTTGTTCTCTCCTTTTTTAAATAAAAATGTTTATTTTTGCCATTTATAGTTGTGATATAAGTATACCCATTTCAGTTACAACAAAGTGGCTGGTTTAAATAAAAATATGTAGGCGGGGCGCAGTGGCTCATGTCTGTAATCCCAGCACTTTGGAAGGCCGAGGTGGGCGGATCACAAGGTCAGGAGATCGAGACCATCCTGGCTAACATGGTGAAACCCGGTCTCTACTAAAAATACAAACAACTGGCTGGGTGTGGTAGCATGTGCCTGTAGTCCCAGCTACTCGGGAGGCTGAGGCAAGAGAATCACTTGAACCTGGGAAGCAGAGGTTTCGGTGAGCCGAGATCACGCCACCGTACTCCAGCCTGGGCAACAAGAGCGAGACTCAATCTCAAAAAAAAAAAAAAAAAAGAGGTTGAGGCTGCAGTGAGCTGAGATCACACCTCTGCACTGCACATAGCCCGAGTGACAGAGTGAGACCCTGTCTTAAAGAAAAAAAAATTGTGGCAGAGAACAATATCCAATTCACTAATAATCCATATTCCCTCTTCTTTCACAGTCAGCTGGATTGTGTTTTCCAGCATTTCTTACAGTTAATACAGGCATGCCTGACCATTTCTTAATGGATAGAGGTCAGCAATTGGGACTCAGTTACATCTGAGTAACTGTAATGGAAATGTCCAGGCTTGTTCCCTACTGATCAGTAATCTTAGTTGAGTCATAACCACCCCTTGTCTAGATGTCATGATATATTCCAGTTGTCTGCTCAGATTTGTGTATCCTTTGCAGTATTTATTTAGTGTCTACCATGTATTAAGTACTTTGCAAATCCTTGAGGAATTTACGGTCTTGCGTGTAGACATACGTATTTTCTTTTTTTTTTTTTTTGAGACACGGTCTCACTCCAGCCCAGGCTGGAGTACAGTGGCATGGTCACAGTTCACTGCAGCCTGGACTTCCTGGGATCAAGCAATCCTTCTGCCTCAGCCTCCTGCATAGCTAGGACCACACATGCATGCCACCATACTCGGCTAATTTTTAAATTTTTTGTAGAGATGGGGGTCTCACGATGTTGCTCAGGCTGGTCTTGAACTGATGGGCTCAAATGATCCTTCTACCTCAGCCTCCTGAAGTGCTAGCATTATAGGCGTGAGCTGCTACACCCAGCTTATTTTCAATCTAATATGATATGTGTTCAAATTGATAGGAACACAGAGGAGAGGTATTTAATTCAATTTTAGGAGGCTCAGGGAAGGCTTTTTTTTTTTTTTTTTTTGGAGACAGTCTCACTGTTGTCCAGGCTGGAGTGCAGTAGTGCAATCTCAGTTCACTGCAGTCTCTGCCTCCTGGGCTCAAGCGATTCTCCTGCCTCAGCCTCCCGAGTAGCTGGGATTATAGGCATGTGTCACCATGCCCGACTAATTTTTATATTTTTAGTAGACACGGGGTTTTACCATGTTGGCCAATGATCTCAAGTGATCCTCCCATCTCAGCTTCCTGAAGTGTTGGGATTACAGGCGTGAGCCACTGTCCCTGGCCAAGAGAAGCCTTTTCGAAGAGCTAATTCTGAATCTTCATCCTGTGGATTAATAAATTAGTGTGGTGAAACAGTGTGAGAAGAGAATACTATACTGGGCAAACCTGTTGCACAAAGGTGTGATGTAGTGTGACATGAAGCATTCAGGAAAATGCAGGTGATTATGTTATTTCTGGAATATAAAATATAAGGAAGAGAGTTATTAGAGAGATCAGGTCATAGAATGTCTTATATACCATGTTAAAAAGTTTGCCATTCTGGGCCACATAGTGAGACCCCCATCTCTCCAAAAAATTAAAAAATTAGCCAGATGTGGTAGTGGACATGTGTAGTCCCAGCTACTCAGGGGACTGAGGTGAGATAATTGCTTGAGCCCAGGAGTTCAAGGCTGCAATGAGCCATGATCATGCCACTGCACACTAGCCTAGGCAATAGAGCAAGACCCTCCCTCAAAAAAAAAAAAAAAGTTTAGATTTTATTTATTCTGATGTATTGAAAGGTTTTAAACAGAAGAGTAGAAAATCATTGGATTTGCATTTTCCTTTGGCTACATTATAGAGAATTGAGTTAATTAATGGAAGAAAAACTAAAAGCAAACCTGGAAGCTGTTGCAGTGACCCAGGCTAGAGGCAACTGAGGCAGGGTAGTGTTGGCAGAGCGAATAGAATGACTTTGAGAAGTATTTAGAAAGTAAAATTGGCTGACGTTTGGATACTGATTGGGTATGCGGGTTGGGGAGAGAATGAGGGAGAGGGAAGGATCAAGACAGCAGTGCAAATGCAAATGCCATTAATTGTGATCAGGACCAGAGAAGGAGCATCGGGTTCAGCAGGGATGAGGAGGAGTTCTGCTTTGAATGTACTGTGCTTTCATAGCCTGGGTTTAGCTAAGTGGAGAGATTTCACTGCCTACCAAATATCCAAACCCAAAGCTTGGGTGAGGAACCAGGTGGGAGAGGAGTGTGAAGTCAGGCCTAAAGATGGAATTTGGAATTTGGAGGTACATGAGGGCCTGGGACCCTGGGGAAAACAACGAGAAAGAGTATTACAATGAACCAGGGAAGGGATTCTAGGGAATACCAGGGATTAAGGGACAGATAGAAGAGCGGGAGAAGGTGGCAGGAAAGAAGCCTGCACTCCAGGTTAGAGGAGGGAAGAGCCATGCATTCAGGATCACTCTGGGGATGGTGAACCCATGTTTGATTGCAGGGGTAAGTGAATTTTCAGCAAATGTTGCAGGTTCCCAATTATTAATTGCTTTGACCTTGGTGCCTTGTACCTTCCCCTTCCCTCTGCCTTTTCCCACCAATCCAGGGCCTCATGCTGTCCTTGATTGGCAAGTGTGACTGAGGACTGGTAGCTATTTTAACAGCTATTCTGGCCCATTTATTATTTTAGCAGATAGCAGGATATTTCTTATACAGACTATGCGAAACAGAAAACATTCATGCATATTTGTTTTGTTGTTTTAGAAACTTGTCGGTCCTTCCAGAATCAATTTTGTTCAGATTAGACCAGGAAGAAAAAAGTTGTGATATAGAGACCCCATTAGGAAATCTTTCTAAATTGATGGAAAACACATTTGTCAGGTTTGTAACAATGAGCAAATTTGAATTTCACTCCACTTTTCTAAGGAATATTACTAAAAGTGCTTTTTCACTTTTCAGCAAAAAACTTCGAGATTTAATTATTGACTTTCGTGAACCTCAGTTTACATCCTACCTTAGTTCTGTTCTTCCACATGATGCAAAGGATACAGTTGCCTGCATTCTAAAGGGTATGCTAAAATCACCATGTCTGCTTTGATTAATTTTTCTTGTTTCTATTTGATTTATACTGTGGTCTAATATCTTGATTAGACTTGCAATTACAATGTTTAGATCAAGACTCTTTGGAAATGGTTTTGTATTGAAGAATAGACTTGAATAGAGACTGCTTTTCTGATAAAATAATTAACTTTTCCTTTGAAATTCAACCCTCTTTTTCCTGTTATTTTTGAATTTAAATGTAGGTTTGAATAAGCCTCAGAGGCAAGCGATGAAAAAGGTACTTCTTTCAAAAGACTACACACTCGTCGTGGGAATGCCTGGGACAGGAAAAACAACTACGATATGTACTCTCGTAAGATGATTATTCTTCTGCTTAGAAACGAAATATTTGTATCAGCTTCTCCTCAGTTCAGAGGATGTAATATTTAATATCAAAAGGGCTGAATTTTAATTCAAACTGTCATTGTTTCAAATGAACTTTTTGGAATGACATGAGAAATAGTAAAGCTGAATCACAAACAGTTGTAATCATGTTGTAGGTTTCTTGCATTTAGAATTTTCTAAGATCTCTTTCCGTTAGTGGTATGTGATATATATCACTGTATGTTTTCCTTTCCCTTTAAAGATGATGTTAGAGGCTGGGCATGGTGGCTCATGCCTGTAATCCCAGCGCTTTCGGAGGGTGAGGCAGGTAGATCACTTGAGCTCAGGAGTTCGAGACCAGCCTGGCCAACACGGTGAAACCCCATCTCTACTAAAAATACAAAAATTGGCCAGACGTAGTGGCGGGCGCCTATAGTCCTAGCTTTACTTGGGAGGCTGAGGCAGGAGAATCACTTGAACCCAGGAGGCGGAGATTGCAGTGAGCCAAGATCATGTCATTGCACTCCAACTTGGGCAACAAGAGCAAAGCTCTGTCCTAAAGGAAAAAAAAAAAAAAAGTTAGAGATTTTTCTTGGATTTTTTTTTCCATGTCAGTAAATTTCTTTTTTTTTCTTTTTTTTTTTTTGAGACGGAGTCTTGTTATGTGGGCCAGGCGAGGTGGATCATACCTGTAATCCCAGCACTTTGGGAGTCTGAGTCAGGAGGGTTGGTATTTGAGACCAGGTTGGAATGCAGTGGCATGATCACAGTTCATGCAGCCTCAACCTCCTGGGCTGAAACAGTCCTCGTTCCCGAGCCTCCCAAGTAGTTGGGACCACAGGGGTGTACCACCTCACCTGGCTAATTAAAAAAAAATTTTTTTTAAAGAGATGGGATCTCACTTTGTTGCCCAGGCCAGTCTTGAATTTCTGGGTTCAAGTGATCCACTTGCCTCAGCCTCCCAAAGTGCTGGGATTACGAGCATGAGCCACCATGCCTGGCCTATGACATATTATTGATGTATTATTAATAACATATAATATTGTCATGTGATTTTTGTAAAATGTTTTGGCTTCATAATTTTTTTTAAATCAGCTCTTAGATATGGTTCTTGTTAAATTTATAAACATGTTAAAAATTATCTGGAATTAAAAGTAAGACTGTTTTTTCTTTTTTCTCTTACCCATTATTAGGTAAGAATTCTCTATGCCTGTGGTTTTAGCGTTTTGTTGACCAGCTATACACACTCTGCTGTTGACAATATTCTTTTGAAGTTAGCCAAGTTTAAAATAGGATTTTTGCGTTTGGGTCAGACTCAGAAGGTTCATCCAGCTATCCAGCAATTTACAGAGCAAGAAATTTGCAGATCAAAGTCCATTAAATCCTTAGCTCTTCTAGAAGAACTCTACAATAGTCAAGTAAGCACAATTATTATATAATAATACTAACAGTTAATGTTCACAGCCAGAATGAGGGGAGAAACTCTGGTGATTTTAGTCACATTGACTGAATTTGCACATGTTATATGTACTATACGACCAGTTTATTGCCTTATAGTTTGCTGTTTCCTTCTGAACTAAGATTTTGGGTTTATTATTTAGGACTCTCTTCTAGTTTCAAATATCCTAGAAAACTGGTAATTATCAGGATTTCAGCCAGGCATAGTGGCTCACGCTTGTAATCCCAGCACTTTGGGAGTCCGGAGGTGGGCGGATCACGGACGGTCAAGAGTTCGAGACCAGCCTGGGCCAACATAGTGAAACCCCTGTCTGTACTAAAAATTACAAAAAAAATTACCCCGGGTGTGGTGGCGGGTGCCTGTTAATTCCAGCTACTTGGGAGGCTGAGGCAAGGATAATTCGCTTGAACCTGGGGAGGAGGTTGGAAGTGAGCGAGATCGCGCCACTGCACTCCAAGCGGAGGCGACAATGCGGAGACTCCAGCTCAAAAAAAAAAAAAAATCAGGGTTTCTTAGCAAGTTTTGAATTAGAAGCAATGGGTACTTATAGTCTTGTGATGACTGTCTCTAGGCTTTTATATTAGAACCTAACTTTATTTGTTTTTTATTTTAATGTTTATTTATACTGGCAGTTCTTTTTTTTTTTTTTTTGGAGACAGAGTCTGGCTCTGCCGCCCAGGCTGGAGTGCAGTGGCCGGATCTCAGGCTCGCACTGCAAGCTCCGCCTCCCGGGTTCACCACCATTCTACCTGCCTCAGCCTTCCCCGAGTAGCGTGGGGGAGCACAAGGCTGCCCCGCCACCTTCGGCCCGGCTAAGTTTTTTGTATTTTGTAGTAGAGACGGGGGTTTCACCGGGTTAGCCAGGATGGTCTCGATCTCCTGATCTTGTGATCGCCCGTCTTCGCCTCCCAAAGTGCTGGGATTACAGGCTTGAGGGCCACCGCCCAGCCTATACTGCTGTCGCCCAGGCTGGAGTGCACCAGCGCATCTCGGCTCACTGCAAGGTTTGCCTCCTGGGTTCACCCATTCTCACTGTTCAGCCTCCTGAGTAGCGAAGACTACAGGTGCCCGCCACCACGCCCAGCTAATTTTTTGTTTTTTAGATGGAGTTTCGCTCTTGTGACCCAGGCTGCGGCAATGGCGCCATCTCAGCTCACCACAGGCCTCCGCCTCCTGGTTCAAGTGATTTCTTGCTGTCAGCCCCCAAGTAGCGTGGCGATTTAAGGCATGCGTGACCACACCATGCTAATTTTGTATTTTTAATAGAGGTGTGGTTTCCCATGTTGGTCAGGCTAATCTCGCACTCCCGGTCCTCAGGTTACCCTCCTGCCTCGGCCTCCCAAAGCGGCTGGGCTTACAGAGCGTGAACTACCGCGCCCGGCTTTTTTTTTTTTTTTTTTTTTCTTTTAAGCGAACCTTCCATCAAGTAGCTGGGATTATGGGTGCGGCTGTAGTGCCTGGTTTAACTGATATTTTTGTCTTTAAAAAATTTCCCAAGAATTAGATTTAATAGATTGTTCCTTTACCTTTACCTCCTTTGTCTAATGCTAGCATATTTTTGTCTAATATCTGTTCCTGTTATTTATAAATTTAGAACTGGCTAAGATGTATATCGGGTTAACATTTTTATTAAATTAAATGTTTTATTTTAAGGTAATTGTAGATTCACATACAGTTGTAAGAAATACTAGAGAGAGCCTGTGTCGCCTTTATCCAGTGGTGACATCTTGCAAATCTGTAGTACAACGTCACACCCAGGATGTTGACATTCATACAGTCCCTATCCATTTTGATAATTTGGTCGTTGGAGAATGTTACCTAAATGCAGTAGCCTTTTGGGATTGGTGTTTTTCACTCAGCCTGATTCTCCGGAGCTTCCCCTAGATAGTTGTATCTATTAATAGTTTGTTCCTTTTTGTTGCCAAGTATCTTTCCAAAATATGGATGTACTGCATTGTGTTTAAGCATTCACCCTCTGAAAATCTGGATTGTTTCCAGTTTTCAGATATTATGAATAAAGCTGCTGTAAACACTCATGTTACAGGTTTTTGTGTAACGTAAGTCTTCATTTCCCTGGGATAAATTCCCAGTAGTACGATTTCTGAATTGATTAGTAGTTGCGTGTTCATTTTTTTTTTTTAATCTGCCAAACTGTTTTTCTAAGTAGGAACATTTTACATGTATGAGTGATCTCCTCAGCATTTGGTGGCGATACTATTTTTTTTTTAAATTTTTTTCTGAGATGGAGTCTTGCTCTGGCACCCAGGCTGGAGTGCAGTGGTGCAATCTGAGGTCACTGCAACCTTCGCCTCCTGGATTCAAGCAATTCTGCTGTCTCAGCCTCCTGAGTAGCTAGGATTACAGGCATGTGCCACCACGCCTGGCTAATTTTGTTGTATTTTTAGTAGAGATGGGGTTTCACCATGTTGGCCAGGCTGGTCTTGAACTCCCGACCTCATGATCCACCTGCTTTGACCTCCCAAAATGCTGGGATTAGAGGCGTGAGCCACCATGCCCAACTGATACTATTTTTAATTTTAGCCATTTTGGTAGGTGTTTGGAGATTTTAATTTGCATTTACCCAGTAGTTAAAATGTGTGTGTGTGTGTGTGTGTGTGTGTGTACGTGTGTATGTATGTTTGAGACAAGGTCTTGCTCTGTTGCCCAGGCTGCAGTGCACTGGTGAGACCACGGCTCACTGCAGCCCTGACTTATTGGGCTCAAGTGATCTTTCTGCCTCAGCCTCCTGAGTAGCTGGAACTATACAGGCATGTACCACCACGCCTGCCTAAATATTTTAAATTTTTTTATGTTGTCCAGGCTGATCTTGAACTCCTGGGCTCACGTGATCCTCCTACCTCTATCTGCCTCCCAAAGTGTTGGAATTACAGGTGTGAGCCAGTGTATCCAGCCATAATGTGGTGGGTTTTTTTTTTTGTTTTGTTTTTGAGACGGAGTTTCCCTGTTACTGCCCAGGCTGGAGTGCAGTGGCGTGATCTTGGCTCACTGCAACCTCTGCCTCCCAGGTTCAAGTGATTCTCCTGCCTCAGCCTCCCAAGTAGCTGGGATTACAGGCATGCGCCACATGTTTTTTTTTTTTTTTTTTAGTAGAGACAGGGTTTTACTATGTTGGCCAGGCTGGTCTTGAACTCCTGACCTCAGGTGATCCACCCGCCTCAGGCTCCCAAAGTGCTGGGATTATAGGCTTGAGCCACTGCACCTGGCCCATAATGAGGTTTTCATGTGCTTATTTGTCATCTGTATCTCCTCTTCATGTTTTTGCCCATTTTGGATTATATGCTTTGTAGTGTTGAGTTTTGAGAATTTTTAAGATGTGTATTCTAATAGTAGCCCTTTAATGGATATGTGGTTTGCAGGTATTTTCTCTCACTCTATCACTTGCTTTTTATCCTCCTCATAGGGTCTTATGCAGAGCAAAAGGTGGTTTTATTTATTTATTTATTTTTTGAGACAGACACTTACTGTGTCACCCAGGCTGGAGTGCAGTGGTGTGATCTCCACTCACTGCAACCTCTGCCTCCCAGGTTCAAGCAATTCTCCTGCCTCAGCCTTTCAAGTAACTGGGACTACAGGCATGAGCCACCATGCCTGGCTAATTTTTGTATTTTTAGTAGAGATGAGGTTTTGCTGTGTTGGCCAGGCTGGTCTCAAGCTCCTGACCTCAGGTGATCCTCCTGCCTCAGCCTCCCAAAGTGCTGGGATTACAGGCATGAGCCACTGTACCTGGCCGCAAAAGGTTTTTTTTGAGGAAGTCCGGTATATAAATTTTTTCCTTTTATAGATTATACTTTTGGTCTCAAGTCTAAGAACTCTGTCTGGCCCCAGATGCTGAAAGTTTTCTTTTTTGAGACAGAATCTTCCTCTGTCACCCAGGCTGGAGTACAATGGCCGGATCTTGGCTTGCTGTAACCTCTGCCTCCCAGGTTCAAATGATTCTCATGCCTCAGCTTCCCAAGTAGCTGGGACTACAGGCATGCACTACCATGCCTGGTTAATTTTTTGTATTTTTATTAAATACAAAATATAACCACCTTGCTCTGATGAGTACCCACATGGGCGGTTGTGCTGTTGGCCTACTCATGCTGCACCTGCTTGATGTAGATGACATATTTCTTTCTGTACACCTGGACTACCTTGCCAATTTGCTGACCTTTGTAGTGTCCTTGAACTACCTGGACCTCGTCATCCTTGCGGATGGACATGGAGTGGACATTGTACTTCTGCCACAGCTCCTTGGAGAGCGGGATGACATGATCTTCCTGTGCACGTGCAAGGAGGCATTGAAGTGACGTTTGTGGTTTTTGCTGCGGTCCAAGGTCACGAAGGGATTGAACTTCATGGTGACCCTCTGGCTAGCAGCGGCCTCAGGCTTGTTGTGTTTTGTTTTGTTTTGAGACAGTGACTCACTTTGTCACCCAGGCTGGAGTGCAGTGGCATGATCATGGCTCACTGCAGCCTCGACCTCCTTGGCTCAAGTGATCCTCCTGCCTCAGCCCTCCAAGTAGGTGGGACTATAGATGTATGCCACCATGCTCAGCTTATTTTAGTATTTTTTGTAGAGACAGGTTTTCACTGTGTTGCTCGGGTTGGTCTCAAACTCCTGAGCTCCAGCGATCTGCCCACCTTGGTCTCCCAAAGTGTTGGGATTACAGGCGTGAGCCACTGCGCCTGGCCCAGTTATCATATTTTTAGTTCTAAAATTTCCATTTGGCTCCTTTTATCTTCTATTTATTGACCGAGACTTTGTTTTTTGATTCATATTCAAGTGTGTTCATAATCACTCGTTAAAATGTTGTTACCATGCCTACTTTAAAATCTTGGTCAGATAGTTCTGACATCTCTGTCATTCTGGTGTCGGCATTTATAGATTGTCATCTTTTTTCATTGAGCTTGAGATTTTCCTGGTTCGTCTTATAATGATTGTTTTTTTATTGAAACATGAGCATATTTTATTGTGACTGAAAACTTCTGTTTTAGCTGGCTTCCTCTCACACTGCCGTGGTGGGGGAAGAGGGGGTACCATTTCATTACTGCCAGGTGGGAATCAGAGTCTGGGTTCCCCACTCAGTCCTCTTTGACCAAAATGCGAGGTTCCTCATTACCGCTGGGTCTGCTTGGTAGGGGTGGAAGTCTAGGCTTCTGATGTGGTCTCTACTAACATGTGGGGTTGGTACCAGTTACCAGTCATCAGGGATGAAAGACCTGACTCTACTTGGCTTTCTCTGACACCAGCCTGGTGGGGTGTGGGGCACCTTGTTACAGCCTTGAGAAGGGCAGAGATCTACCCTCCTCAGTGTTTGCTGGTGTCTGTGGTTGTGGGGCTGTACTTTTTTTCCTGCGATATGTGGCTAGAGTGGTTATTGTGTGAAAATTTTCTGTCTAGCTAGGCTTTCCCTTTCCTGTTCCTTCAGCTAAAGAGAGCAGACTTTGGTTGCAGCTGTTTTTAGTCAGCACCCACTGGTGTTTCTGGGTTGTGGCTCTCTCAGTTCCAAATCTGGGATCTATGAGGCAAAAAGAAAGCCCAGGGAATCAACTACCATGTTGTTTCTTTGGTCCTAAGCTCCCTAGCTAGTCTGCCTTCTGTCCACCTTTCAGAGTCTTCTTTTGTTTGTTTTACATACATAATGCATAAGGATTTTAGTTGTGTTTGTGGAAAGAATAAGGCAAAGTACTCCATTTTCCCAGAAGCAACGTCCTGGTTGACATTAAGAAAAAAAAAACAACCTAACTAACTTACTGCCTCTTGAATGTTCCAGATTTCCACAGGGAAATATCCGAATGTGAGCATTGGAATTAAATAATATCGAAGAATTCCTGATGCCATAGAACAAAAACCTTTTGATCTTTTCATTTCAAAAATGAGAGAAACAAAACTACATTTCTTTTACATATTAAATAACTGATCTGTTTTCCTTGTTTTTAGCTTATAGTTGCAACAACATGTATGGGAATAAACCATCCAATATTCTCCCGTAAAATTTTTGATTTTTGTATTGTGGATGAAGCCTCTCAAATCAGCCAACCAATTTGTCTGGGCCCCCTTTTTTTTTCACGGAGATTTGTGTTAGTGGGGGACCATCAGCAGCTTCCTCCCCTGGTGCTAAACCGTGAAGCAAGGTAGGCAGACATTTAAGTGTTAATTTTGAACCAGATTCTTTTCAAGGAGCATATTTAGTACAGTGATAAATCTGAATCTGATTTGTTGACAGAGCTCTTGGCATGAGTGAAAGCTTATTCAAGAGGCTGGAGCAGAGTAAGAATGCTGTTGTACAGTTAACCGTGCAGTACAGAATGAACAGGTATTTGTAACAGTGTTAGCTGGGAGTGGTTTTCATATTTGTTTCCGTCTGCCGAAACTAACATTATCTTTTGTAATTCCCTTAGTAAAATTATGTCCTTAAGTAATAAACTGACCTATGAGGGCAAGCTGGAGTGTGGATCAGACAAAGTGGCCAATGCAGTGATAAACCTACCTCACTTTAAAGAGGTGAAACTGGACCTGGAATTTTATGCTGACTATTCTGATAATCCTTGGCTGATGGGAGTATTTGAACCCAACAATCCTGTTTGTTTTCTTAATACAGACAAGGTAAAAAAAATTTTTTTCTCTTTAGTTTTTGTCATTTTGTCTTATTATTTAAATTTCTCAGTTTGCATTAGCATATGCCCTGATTAGAGCTTATGAGTTAAAAGGCAAAACTAGGCCGGGCACGGTGGCTCACACCTGTAATCCCAGCACTTTGGAAGGCCAAGGTGGGCGGATCACAAGGTCAGGAGTTCAAGACCAGCCTGGCCAACATGGTGAAACTCTGTCTCTACTAAAAATACAAAAATTAGCTGGACATGGTGGCAGGCGCCTGTAATCCCAGCTACTCAGGAGACTGAGGTATGAGAATTGCTTCAACCTGGGAGGCAGAGGTTGCAGTGAGCTGAGATTGTGCCAATGCACTCCAGCCTGGGTGACAGAGTGAGACTCCATCTCGGGGGGGGGAAAAAAGGCAAAACTAATGTACTTCTCACACTTCAACCCAAAATAGTCTTTTCTTTCTTTTTCCTTTTTCTTTTTCTTTTTTTGAGACACAGTCTTGCTCTGTTGCCCAAGTGGCACGATCTTGGCTCACTGCAACTTCCTCCTCCCAGATTCAAGTGATTCTCCTGCCTCAGCCACCCAGGTAGCTGGGATTACAGGCACCCACCACCACACTGGCTAATTTTGTATTTTTACTAGAGATAGGGTTTCATCATGTTGGCCAGGTTGGTCTTGAACTCCTGGTTTCAAATGATCTGCCTGCTTCGGCCTCCCACAGTGCTGTGATTATAGGTGTGAGCCAATGTGCCTGGCCCAAAATAGTCTTTCTTTCTATAGGTTGAATATTTTTGGGGGGAGGTTTATTCTGGAGGTCAGTAGATGTCAAAATTGACTTTTGAAGAAGGAAAGCCACAAAGTGAACTCAAGGGTATAATTCTATTTCCTAGAAAAGGAATTTGCACTGATACTATCAAAGGGCTGGATTTACAAATGGACAGTGAGTATAATAAATCGATGTCCTTTTAAAGACTTTTTCAGACTTTAAGGCCGGGCACAGTGGCTCATGGCTGTAATCCCAGCACTTTAGGAGGCCGAGGTGGGTGGATCACCTGGGGTCAGGAGTTCGAGACCAGTCTGGCCAACATGACGAAACCCCATCTCTACTAAAAATACAAAACTTAGTTGGGTGTGGGGCGCCTGTAGTCCCAGCTACTTGGGAGGCTGAGGCAGGGGAATTGCTTGAACCTGGGAGTCGGAGGTTGTGGTGAGCTGAGATCACACCACTGCACTCTAGCCTGGGTGACAGAGTGAAACTCCGTCTCAAAAAAAAAAAAAAAAAAGGTTTTATTTTCTTTTGGAACAGTTTTAGGTTCATAGCAAAATTATGTGGAAGGTACGGAGGTTTCTTATAACCTCCCTCCCCCACAAATGCACACGAAGACCTTTTTACAAACCAATCATTAAACAGAAATCTGCATAAGGACTTTTTTTTTTTTTTTGAGACAGAGTCTTGCTCTGTCACCCAGGCTGGAGTGCAGTGGTGCAATCTCAGCTCACTGCAACGTCCACCTCCCAGGTTGAAGCAATTCTGCCTCAGCCTCCCAAGCAGCTGGGATTACAGGCAAACACGACCACGCCCAGCCAATTTTTTGTATTTTTATTAGAGACAGGGTTTCACCATGTTGGCCAGGCTGGTGTCAAACTCCTGGCCTCAAGTGATATTCCCTCTTCCACTGCCCCAAGTGCTAGGATTACAGCTGTGAGCCACGGCGCCTGGCCTTTCACAAGGACTTTAAATTACTTGATTCTTGTTTCTGGGAGCTAAGAATTAAGTTTTTACCCTATATTTCTACATTTTGCTTTATGTAGTGTTTCTCAGCATTGAGTTGGGAGTCTTTACATAAGTTCAAATAAAAATATAGTAACCATCTGGGCTTGGTGGCTCATGCCTGTAATCCTGCAACTTTGGGAGGCTGAGGCAGGAGAATCACTTGAGGCCAGGAGTTCAGGGCCAGCCTGGGCAACATAGTGAGACCCTGTTCCTAAAAAAAAGAAAAAAAATTTCTTTATAAAATTATCTAGATGTGCCTGGGCATAGTGGCTCATGCCTGTAATCCCAGCACTTTGGGAGGCTGAGGCAGGCGGATGATTTGAGTTCAGGAGTTCAAGACTAGCCTGACCAACATGGTGAAACGCTGTCTCTACTAAAAATATAAAAAAATTATCCGGGTATGGTGCTTGCCTGTAGTCCCAGCTACTCAGGGGGCTTGAGGTAGGAGAATCGCTTGAACCCGGGAGACAGAGGTTGCAGTGAGCCAAGATCACGCCGCTGCACTCTAGCCTGGGCGACAGAGCGAGACTCTGTCTCCGAACTTAAAAAAAAAAATTATCTGGTGTGGCATTGTGCACCTGCAGTCCTAGCTACTTAGGAGGCTGAAGCAGGAGGATCACTGAATTCCAGAGGTTGAAGCTGCCATGAGCTATGATTGCACCACTGCAATCCAGCTTGGACAACAGAGCAAGACCCTGTCTCAAGAAAATAAAATAAGGATATAGCAACCAATTATATGAGCATATTACTCTAAAATCATTGTCTCCTGTTATTAAGATGCATGGCTGGCGGCCGGGCTCGGTGACTCACGCCTATTAATCCCAGCACTTTGGGAGGCCAAGGCGGGGCAGACACCTGAGGTCTGGGAGTTTGAGACACAGCCTACCACTACTGAGAAACCCCGTCTCCACTAAAAAATAGCCCGGCTGTCGTGGCACATGCCCCTGACCCGGTATGGGGATGGGTGATACAGGAGAATGCATTGAAACCCAGGAGGTGAGGGTTTGCCAGAGAAGCTGATGGATTGCGGCCATTTGCTACTCTGGCCTGGGGCAACAAAGCTGAAACTGTTCTCAAAAAAAAAAAAAAAAGAATGGATGCCGGATTGGGGTGCGACTCATGCCTGCCAATTTCCCAGCCACTTTGGAGGCCCGAGGCAGCCAGATCACCTGGAGTTCAGGAGTTTGAAGACCAGCCTGAGCCACATGGTGCAAACCTCATCTCTTTACTAAAATTTACAAAATTAGCTGGTCTGGGGTGCACGCCCTTGTTAATCCCAACTACTCAGGATGCTGAGGCAGGAGAATCGCTTGGAAACCCCAGGAGGCTGAGGTTGCAGGAGCGAGATCACGCCACTGACCTTCGCCTGGCCCCCGACAGAGCGAGACTCCATCTCAAAAATAAAATAAAATAAATAAAAAAGATGGATGTGATGGAGCCAGCTGATGTTGGTGTGTGTTGTGTGGGGTGTGGTGTCTGTGTTGCTGTTTTTAATGGCCCCTTTGCCTCTGCCATTTCTCAAAGGCCTGCGTTGGTTAAAAATTAGCGGCTCTACTACATGTCTGTAATGGCAATTTTCATTCTCATAGATTACTACCCTTAAACACTCAGGCTTTGAAGAATTTTATTTTTATCTTAACACCTAGGTGCAGGCCAGACTTTGGCAAACTGATTCGGATAAACTCATTTCACAAATGAGACTGGCTTTCTCTTTTTCTTTTTTTTTTTTTTTTTTGAACAGAGTCTTGCTCCTGTCGGCCCAGGTCTGGCGCGATCTTGTGCTCACTGGCAAGCTCCACCTCCCAGGTTTACGCCATCCTCCTGCCCTCAGCCTCCACAGCGTAGCTGGCGACTACAGGGCCTGCCGACCATGCACTGGCAATTCTTTGTATTTTTGGGTTGGAAGACAGGGTTTCACCTTGTTAGCCAGATGGTCTCGATCTCCTGACCTTGTGATCTGCCTGCCTCAGCCTCCCAAAGTGCTGGGATTACAGGTGTGAGCCACCACACCCGGCCACAAATGACAGCTTTCATAAACCATGATTCTAGCTTACTAATTGTAAGTTGCATTTATTTCCTTCACCAGCGATCGCTCAGAATCTTTATTTTTGCTACTTGGATTTTCTCTTTTTTACCATCAGGATTCCAAGTAAGTTGTATTAAAAATAATCAAGTTTGCTTAGGGATGATGTAGGAGGGAAAGTAGTCTTTGAAGAGATGTATTAGGTATGGCAGCAGTTTTATCTGCTCCGTTATTTGTATAAAAGGGGACAAGAAAATGGAAAGAGCATAGATATGAGACCCAGATCTAAGTTTGTTTGTTTCTGAGACAGAGTCTCACTCTGACTCCCAGGCTGGACTCCCAACCTCCGACTCCCAGATTCAAGCGATTTTCCTTCCTCAACCTCCCGAGTAGCTGGGATTACAGGCACGCGCCACCACGCCCAGCTAATTTTTGTATTTTTAGTAGAGACGGAGTTTCACCATGTTGGCCAGGCTGATCTCGAACTCCTGACCTTGTGATCCGCCTGCCTCGGTCTCCCAAAGTGCTGGGATTACAGGCATGAGCCATCGTGCCCAGCCACCCTAAGTTCAAATACTAGTGCCACAGTTTATTGTGAGGCCTTGGGAAAGTTACTTATTCTTTTCTGCCTTTGATTCCTGTAAAATGGGGGATAACAAAGTAAAGTATGTGAAGTTCAGTGTGTGATCAGCTTTCGTAGGTATTTTAGCCTCAGTCATAGCATGTTTAAGATAGATGGCCTCTGCGTAGCTTTCTGAAAGTGACTAATATTAATATAATTCGTTTTTGTTGATTCTTTCACCTTCATCTTTTAGACAAAGATATTTTTCATCTCCAAATCAGTAGTACAGTCTTTATGGCCACTTGCTTACTTATAGTACTCTTTACTTTAGAGATTGTATTATCAGCAGGCTGTATATTTTTCTACTTAGGTTCCTGCACCAGAACAAGTTGAAAAAGGTGGTGTGAGCAATATAACAGAAGCCAAGGTCATAGTTTTCCTAACCTCCATTTTTATTAAGGTAATTTAGAATTTTCAAGGCTAATAAATATTAAAGTACAGAATAATAGAATATTAGACTGTAAGAAACTTCTGATCTGACATTAACTCTCATTTATTAAGATAAGGGGATTGAAGCCCCATTGTTTTTATTTTGAGAAAATGTATCTAAGACATGTAATATTTTATAATGACATTTGGAGTTTTCATTTACGATAATAACTTTTTGTAATGTCAGCTGATTCTAATTGCGACAATACTGTGACTATTGTCACAGTAGGGATTGGAGATTGGAAACTTTTCTGTGAAATAAATAGCAGAAGGTGAAATGTATTTCTTTGTACTGTGTGTGTGTGAGCACTGTTTTAATGGCATATAATCCATTACATTGCCATGAAACTCTCAAAATTAAGGGAGCAATGTCTAAGGAATTGTTTCATCATGGGAAATACGGACAAATTTAGAGCAAATTCAGTAATTGTATTCAGTCTTTGAGATAGGAAAGTGTTATAAATATCAGTTGGTCATATAATGTAAGCATTTAATTATTAAATTCAGACAAGTTTAACTTAATCAGGATTTCTTTCTTTTAAATTGTGTCTTTTTCTATTTAGGCTGGATGCAGTCCCTCTGATATTGGTATTATTGCACCGTACAGGCAGCAGTTAAAGATCATCAATGATTTATTGGCACATTCTTCTATTGGAATGGTCGAAGTTAATACAGTAGACAAATACCAAGGAAGGGACAAAAGTATTGTCCTAGTATCTTTTGTTAGAAGTAATAAGGATGGAACTGTGAGTTAATTGTGTTTGCTACTGATTGATTTGGGGCATTTCTCTCTCTTTAAAAAATTGTGGGCCGGGCGCGGTGGCTCACGCCTGTAATCCCAGCCCCCTGGGAGGCCAAGGCGGGTGGATCACCTGAGGTCAGGAGTTTGAGGCCAGCCTGACCAACATGGCGACACCCCATCTCTACTAAAAATACAAAAATTAGCTGGGCGTGGTGGTGTGCGCCTGTATTCCCAGCTACTTGGGAGACTAAGGCAGGATAATTACTTGAACCCAGGAGGTGGAGGTTGCAGTGAGCAGAAATTGCACCATTGTACTCCAGCCTGGGCAACAGAGCAAGACTCTGTCTCTAAAAAAATAAAAAATAAATAAATAAATAAAAATTGTGGTTTAACATTGAGAACACGTGGACACAGAGAGGGGAACAACATATACCATGGCCTTTAGGGGCTTGGGGGTGAGGGGAGGGAACTTAACCGACGGGTCAATAAGTGCTGCAAACCGCCATGGCACATGTATACCTATGTAACAAAATTGCACATTCTGCAGATGTATTCCATTTTTTAAAAAAAATAAAATTTTGGTTTAAAAGAACACATAAAATGTATATCTTACCATTTTTTTCTTTTCTTTTTTCTTTCTTTTTTTCTTTTTTGAGACAGCATTTCCTCTTGTCACCCAGGCTGGAGTGCAGTAGTGCGATCTCGGCTCACTGCAACCTTTGCCTCCCAGGTGCAAGTGATTCTTCCGTCTCAGCTTCCCGAGTAGCTGGGATTACAGGCATCCACCATCATGCCTGGCTAATTTTTGTACTTTTGTAGAGACTGGGTTTCACCATGTTGTCCAGGCTGGTCTCGAATCCCTGACCTCAGGTGATCCGCCCGCCTTGGCCTCCCAAAGTGCTGGGATTCCAGGCCTGAGCCACCGTGCCCGGCCCATCTTACCATTTTTAGGTGTACGGTTTAATTAGTGTTAAGTACATTCACACTGTTGTTCAACAATCTCTGGAACTTTTTCATTTTCAAATGTAACTCTGTATTCGTGATTAACTACCCATTTTATTCTTCCCCAAGCCCCTGTAACCACCATTCTACATTCTATCTCTGAATTTGACTAATCTAAGTACCTCATATAAGTAGAATCGTACAGTATTTATCTTTTTGTGACTAACTTATTTCACTTAGCCAGCTAGTTCATCCTGTTGTAGTATGTGACAGGATTTCTTTCCTTTTTAAGAATGAATAATACTCCATTGTCTCTATGTACCACATTTTATTTATTCATTCATCTGTCAGATGGAATGGTTGCTTCCACCCCTTGGCTGTTGTATTTGAGGCCTGTTTCATATAAGATCTTCCTTGTATACTTTCTTTTTTTTTTTTTTTTTTTTGAGACAGAGTCTCGCTTGTAGTGCGCCAGGCTGGGTGCAGTGGCGCGATCTCAGCTCACTGCAAGCTCCGCCTCCCGGGTTCACGCCATTCTCCTGCCTCAGCTCTCCGAGTAGCTGGGACTACAGGCGGCCCGCCCTCGCCCGGCTAATTTTTTGCATTTTTAGTAGAGACGGGGTTTCACCGTGTTAGCCAGGGATGGTCTCGATCTCCTGACCTCGTGATCCGCCCGCCTCGCCTCCCAAAGTGCTGGGATTACAGGCGTGAGCCACCGCGCCCGGCCCCTTGTATACTTTCAAATTTATAGATAATGGAGGTTTGATTTTTTTTTTTTTCCCCAAGACAGGATCTGCCTCTGTCACCCTGACTGGAGTGCAATGGCACAATCTCGGCTCACTGTAATGTCCACCTCCCTGGCTCAGTGATTCTCCCATCTCAGCCTCCTGAGTAGCTGGGATTACAGGCATGCACCATCACACCCAGTAAATTTTTTAATTTTTTTGTAAAGATGGCATTTCGCCATGTTGTGCAGGCTGGTGGGCGACTCCCGAGCTCTAGCAATCCTCCTACGTTCATCTCCCAAAATAGTTTTTTTTGCTTGTTTGTTTTCTTATTTTTACCTCTCCTTAGTTCATTTTTCTCAACTGTATAGTATATCCATATGGTTTTAAAATATACATAATAAAAGGTTTCCTTTGTACTCCATCCCTCATCTACTCAGTTCTTACCTCAGATAGTCTCCTTTTCTTTTTTTTTTGAGACGGTTTCCCTTTGTCACCCAGGCTGGAGTGTGGAGGCATGGTTATGGCCCACTGCGTCCTTGCCTTGACTGCCTGGGCTCAAGCAGCCCTGGCTCAGTGATCCTCTCATCTCAGCCTCCTGAGTAGCTGGGACCACAGGTGCGCACCACCACGCCTGGCTAATTTTTGTATATTTTGTAGAGATGGGGTCTCACTGTGTTGCACAGGCTGGTCTTGAACTTCTGGTCTCCAGTGATCTACCTGCCTCAGCCTCCCAAAGTGCTGGGATTACAGGCATGAGCCACCATACCTGGCCTCATTCTATTCTTAAATTTGCACAGTTGTCCATTGTATAGGGATGTGTTATAATATATTCAGCCATTCCTTTGAACTTGAATAATTGAAAATTGTATTTCTTACAGGTTGGTGAACTCTTGAAAGACTGGCGACGTCTTAATGTTGCTATAACCAGAGCCAAGCATAAACTGATTCTCCTGGGGTGCGTGCCCTCACTAAACTGCTATCCTCCTTTGGAGAAGCTGCTTAATCATTTAAATTCAGAAAAATTAATATCCTTTTTGTTTTGTATATGGTCACATTTGATTGCACTGTTGTGAGTATTTATATACTTGTTTAAATTAAAACTCTATGTTGCATAAGCTGGTCTTGAACTCCTAAGCTCAAGCGATCCCCCCGCCTATGCCTCCCAAAGTGCTGTGATTACAGATGTGAGCTACGGCTCCCGGCCTATAACCTTTTTTTAACCCGGAACAAATGATTAGATTAAAATGGAGTATTATTTATTTTTTAAGATTTTTTTGTTTGTTTGTTTTTGTTTTTTAAATACAGGGCCTTGCTTTGCCACCCAGGCTGCAGTGCAGTGATATGATCAGAGCTCACTGAAGCCTCAATCTCCCAGGCTCAAGTGATCTTCCTACCTCAGCCTCCCCAGTAGCTGGGCCCACAGGTGCATGGCACCATGCCCAGATAATTTTTGTATTTGTTTTGTAAAGACAGTGTTTCACCATGTTGCCCAGGCTGGTTTTGAAGACCTGGGCTTAAGTGATTCACTCGCCTCCTCCCAAAGTGCTGGGACTACAGGTGTCAGCCACCACACTCAGCCTTTTTTTTCCCCAAGAAGTGGTGCCTAACTTCACTCAGGCTGGAGTGTAGTGGTGGGATCACTGCTCACTGCAGCCTTGACCTCCTGGACTCCCACCTTAGCCTTCCCAGTAGCTTGGACCACAGGTATGTACCACCATGCCTGGCTAATTTTTAAAATTTTTAGTAGAGAGGAGGTGAGCCACTGCACCTGGCCTTAAGATAAATCATTTTTAAAAAATGTGTATGGGCTGGGCGCGGTGACTCACGCCTGTAATCCCAGCACTTTGGGAGGCTGAAGCAGGTGGATCGCAAGGTTGAGATTGAGACTATCCTGGCTAACACGGTGAACTCCTGTCTGTACTAAAAATACAAAAATTAGTTGGTCACGGTGACGTGCGCCTGTAGTCCCAGCTACTCAGGAGGCTGAGGCAGGAGAATCGCTTGCACCCGGGAGGCGGAGGTTGCAGTGAGCTGAGATTGCACCATTGCATTCTAGCCTGACGACAGGGCAAGACTCCATCTCAAAAAAACAAACAAAAAAAGTGTATGAAGTTCTTAGGCTTCATAAGAACTTTGTACTTCTTATGAAGGTATGAATTAGGCTAAGATAAGTAACTGAGGCCAGGCGCAGTAGCTCACGCTTGTAATCCCAGCACTTTGGGAGGCCAAGACAGGCAGATTACCTGAGGTTGGGAGTTTGAGACTAGCCTGACCAACATGGAGAAACCCTGTCTCTACTAAAAATACAAAATTAGCCGGGCATGGTGGCGCATGCCTGTAATCCCAGCTACTCGGGAGGCTGAGGCAGGAGAATCTCTTGAACTCGGGAGGCAGAGGTTGCGGTGAGCCGAAATCGCACCATTGCACTCCAGCCTGGGCAACAAGAGCAAAACTCTGTCTCAAAAAAAAAAAAGAAAAAAGATAAATAACTCTTATGGCTTAAGGGCGTAATTATTCATAGAATGCCATAAAGATCTGTATTTTTTTTTGTGGTCCTGTAAATCAGATTACAAAATATTAAATAATAACGTCATAAATTTATGCCATTCTGTATTGTGCTAAATATTTCTTCCTTAATTTATTTTACATCATTGATCTTCCATCAAGAGAACATGGAAGTCTTTGCCACATATTGGGTGACTTTCAAAGAGAATAAAACACTATTTCCCTTGCCTTTTCATACTAGGGCAGTATCTCCTCTAGCTCGTGCCTATACAGAAAATTCTATCACCATACAAAATTTCATGCAGTATTTATGTTTTTAAGCACAGGTGTACCCAAAACTGTGAAAAGTCTAAATTTATGGGTTCTATACATGTATTTTTGCCTGACCTAGAGAAAGAGTTTGATAAATTTTTACCAGCTTTGAAGATGGATTAACTTTTGACTTTGGGCTTTAAACTTTTAAGTCAGACATTTCAGGACTAATTTGATTTTGTAGATATCATTGTAAGAACTTTATTTAAAAGACTTGATAAAGGGATTTGATTTGTTTTCATCATTTAAGCACAGTCTTGTGATGATGAGAATGTAAGTGTGATTCTTTTCTGTATTTTGAGGTCCCTAATCCAAAGGCCATTTTGCTAGGATTTTTTCTGCTATCAGATGTGTTTTCACTCTAAACCTAGTCTTTTATGACATGAATTGATTACTTCCTGTTAATTTTCTATCCTCCCTTACTATCCCCCTTTTTTGTTTTCAGTATTCAGTATTTCGGTATTCTAGAGTGGATTTTGATATAAAAGAAAATAATTCTTACATCGTCTTTTGCAACAAATACTGTTTTCTGAATTGATAACAAATTTAAAAAGTAGATTCCTATTTTCACATATGTTCATATGCCCCTATGTTTGGGGGCATCACTCAGTTTTCCCTTTTTGTGTAAAGATGTTTTGTAAAACAAAATAGCCTCAAGATGATTAATTATTTATATGGGAACAGATTTTAACCTTTAAGGTTAAAATCTTGGGCTAACAGATCTTCTGGGGGTTGGAAATCTTCCATTTCTCTTGAGGGTTTTTTTTTAATGAATGCTAAATATGTTAAAATTTTTGTTTCTACCTCATGTGTTTTTTTAAATTATTACTTGAAGTTTTTTAATAAATTTTTTTACTAATGGATCTTACTGTGTCAATCATTAATACTGAATAGTAATTAAACTCAGGGTTATCATAGTGACAAGTGAATAGTTTAATAGTAATTAAACTCAGGGTTCTAATAGTGACAAGTGAAGTATTGATCATGCTGGAAAGCTGAAACCAAGCAGCACTGATATTACGAGATTTATGAAGGGCACCCAGGATGGGCTTGTTCGTGGAGAGGTTATAGATCAGATAGGACAAATGGGAGAGGTTGCTGTGATGAAACGTAAATATTGGTTAGATATAATGAGAGTATAAATCAGGAAGGAATCTGATAGTAATTTCAGTTTCTGGGAATGAAATGAATAAGAAAGTCCTTTTGCTTCATTACAGGTTCATATGGCTGGAAAAGTAAAGCTCCATAGAAGAGAACCTGGGGATGTGTTCTGTGTTTCCTTTTTTCTTTTTTTTTTTTTTTTTTTGAGATTCTTTTTTCCTTTTTTTTTTTTTTTTTTTTTTTGTTGATCTGTCTTGGTGATAAGAGTCTAGCCATTTAATTGTTTAAAAGAGTTAGGAAGCTGGGCACCATTTGGGTGGCTCACGCCCTGTAATCCCGCCCACCTCCGGAGAGCTGCGGCCAGGTGGATCACCTGAGGTCAGGATTCGAGACCAGCCTGCCACAATGGTGACCCCTGTCTCTACTATAACACAAAAAAATTAAACGCGTATGGTGGTGGCGCTTTAATCCAGTTAACTCAGGGAGGGCTGAGAGAGAATGCCTTGAACCGGGGGAGGAGGTGCGAGGTTTGCGTGAGCCGAGATCACACCACTACCTCCAGCGGGTGACGAAGCAAGACTCCATCTCAAAAAAAAAAAAAAAAAAATATAAACCACAATGCAAAACAATTGGGCT